GGCGGGGGCGGGGGCGGCGGGGCCGGGGGCGGGGGCGGCGGTTCCGCGCTGCCTCCCGGGCCGGGGCCCAGGCTCCCTGCGGCGCTCCGTGGCTCCGAGAGCGGAGCGGACCTTCCGGGCGTGCGGCCGCCAGGTTCGTGTGGTCCGAGCCCGAGGACCGCCTGCGGCCGCCCGGTCCCGGCCAGGAGTGAGCAGGCGCCTCTCACCTGGACGCGAACCGGCCGGACGCCGCGCGGGGGAGGCCGCCGGAGCTTCCCGTTTCCGTTTCTTCACCAAGCTGCCTTGACGCGCCCCGCGGCTACGTCCGGAGTCCTAGCGCCCTGGGAGGCCAGGCAGGAGGATCTCCTCTGCCCAGGAGTTCGAGACCAGCCCGGGGAAATATTTTGAAAGACATGACAAAAGCCGCAAATACTGTTGCACCAACCTGATAGACGCTGTCTCGAAAAGACGTGGGGGAGGATTTTACTGAAGGTAAACCCTGTAACCCCAACACTTTGGGAGGCCGAGGCGGGCGGATCACCTGAGGTAGGAGTTCAAGACCAGCCTGGTCAACAATGCGAAACACCATCTCTTTATACAAAAATTAGCCGGGTGTGGTGACACGCGCTTGTAGTCCCAGCTACTTGGGAGGCTGAGGCAGGAGAATCGCTTGAACCCGGGAGGCGGAGGTTGCAGTGAGCCAGGATCGCGCCCCTGCACGCCAGCCTGGGGACGGAGCGAGACTCAGGAAGGCCCCATCGATACACTAGAAGTGGGCCCTCACCACCTACTCAGTCTGCAGGCACCTGACCTTGCGTTTCCAAGCCTGCAGAACTGAGAGAGTTCTACTCATCGTAGTCTCCTCAGTTTACAGTATTTTATAAGAGCAGCCAGAACGGACTGAACGGACTAAGACAACCTTCCAGTGGCGCAGCGGTGCAGCCCTAGGGATTTACCCTAGAGCAACGAACTTGGAAATCCACAGAGATTTGTTCAAAACATGGTAGCCTCAAACTGGGAACACCCCAAAAGAATGTCAGTAGGTAAATAGACAAATTGTGAAATTGTCATAGGCACATGCTGTCATTATGACAAAGTCACATACTGTTCAGGAACAACATGGCTGAATCTCAAAAATACACCATGCAAAAGAAACCAAACATAAAAGAATGCATACTATACAATTCCATTTGTTTTTTTGTTTTTTCTTTTTGAGATGGAGTCTCTGTGTCTCCCAGGCTGGAGTGCAGTGGTGTGATCTCAGCTCACTGCAACCTCTGCTCCCCGGGGTTAAAATGATTCCCTTACCTCAGCCTCCCAAGTAGCTGGGATTATAGGTGCATGCCACCACGCCTGGCTGATTTTTGTATTTTGAGTAGAGACAGGGTTTTGCCATGTTGGCTGGGCTGGTCTCAAACTCCAGACCTCTGGTGATGCACCCCTCCCCCCGCCACCCGGCCTCCCACAGTACTGGGATTACAGACATGAGCCATCCCATCTGGCTGTCGTTTGTCTTAAGAACAGATAAACTTATGGTGAGAGAACTCAGAACGGCTGCTGACTGTAACTGGGGTGGTTACATGGAAAGGGGCATGAGGAGCTTTCTCAAGATGCTCTATATCTCGTGTGGGTAGATAATAAACTGGGCACACATTTGTTAAAACTCATCAAAGTTTTGGCTACAAGGTTGATAAATGGGAAGAAAAACATTAAACTGTAAAATCTGCCTAGCTGGGCATGGTGGCTCACACCTGTAATCCCGCACTTTGGGAGGCCAAGGCAGGCGGATCACCTGAGGTCAGGAGTTCGAGATCAGCCTGACAACATGGAGAAACCCTGTCTCTACTAAAAATACAAAATTAGCCAAGCATGGTAGCGTGTGCCTGTAATCCCAGCCACTTTGGAGGCTGAGGCAGGAGAATCGCTTGAACCACGGAGGCGGAGGTTGCGATGAGCCCAGATGGCCCCATTGCACTCCAGCCTGGGCAACAAGAGCGAGACTGTCTCGAAAAAAAAGCTGCCTAAATTTAAAAACAGAATAAGGAGTACGTTGTTAGAATGAAACGTTGCCATTGCCATTTTTGATTAGTAGGTACTTGAGAACAGTATTCTGTCCTCAGCACCTCCCCGTTTTGACCTCTTTATGAACATGGGCCATTGCTGCTGCCTGCCTCTTGGTAACTGGGTGAATTACTTACTTCCCTGAACCTCAGGCTTCTTCTTGGTAAAATGAGGATGATCATAGTATCTACTTGGCTGGGCACAGTGCTTTATGCATGTAATCCCAGCACCTTGGGAGGTGAATGCAGGAGGATCGCTTGAGCCCAGGAGGTGGAGACCAGCCTGGGCAACATGGCAAGACGCTGTCTGTACTGAAAATTAAATTAGCTGGAGGTGGTGGCTCATGCTTTGAGGAGGGAGGATCACTTGAGCCTGGGAGGTCAAGGCTGCAGTGAGCCAAGATTGTGCCACTGCACTCCAGCCTGGGGGAGAGAGAGAGAGAGAGAGACAGAGGGAGACCCTGTCTAAAAAATAAACACATACATACATAAATAAAAGGGTAATTCTGTAAGTCCTTGCTACAGAGGGGCTTTATAACAAGTTGTTACACTAATAGCTTAAACCATAAATTCAAGTTTTACGTATATGCATGCCATATAGGGGTGGCAGGGTTCCTGCCCATCATAGGGACTTTGTCATCTGAATCATAAACCCAAGTAGCTCTGGGAGAACTGAGAACTGACTTGGAAAATGGTCAGCTGTGGTCAACTGCTGCCACAGTGTCCACTCTCCAGCCTTAATAACCTCCCAGTGGCTAGGGGACACGCTGCCATCCCCTGAACACGTCCAGCGGCCACGTGACTAAGCAAAGGCGATGGAGAGTGGACGAATGGTGACAGATGCAGCCACGGAGCTGACCTTACAGGAGCGTCCACAGTGTGCGCCCCTGTCCTTTCTCTCCCTTCTCACCTTGGAGGGGGACTGGAAGTGGGATCGGGAGAGCTGTTCTCGGCAGGAGGACGCTGAGGATCAGCAGGGGTGGACGGCCTTTTTGTTCTTGCACCGTGAAGCTGTCCTGGTCAGTCCTGTTTTCATGCTTGAGGGCTCTGGTGCAGCAGTTCCACCAGCCTGACCAGATCTTGACACCAGGACTTCTGTGGAATCCAGGTAAGCAGCTAGGGTCCTGGTAGGGCCGTGTCCTCACCCCCATCTGATGCATCCACACCCAGTTAAATGAGAAGGGAATAATCACAGGAAAACGTGGAGAAAAACTCCACTGTTCAGCTGCCAACCCTCTATTGGCCACTGTTTAGGTAAAAATGAAAAAAAAATTGAGATGTAAACTTCAGGTAGAAGTGGACTCCCAGTGAATGAACGAAATGAAACTTACTGGAATCAGCGGCCTTTGCTGAGGGCAATTCTGATTTTATTGCTGATTGTAGCTTAACTTCTATGTCATGTCTGAACCCAGGTCACAAGGGGGCCGTGTGAGCCCCAGGGATGGAGTGGGGAGGTCTAATCTACACCTGTCTCAAACATCCTTCAGTGAGAAAAGAGTGAGAACATGCTTGTTTGAGGAATCAAGACATTCTGGAGGGCAGGAGGTGAGGATGGAGGTGACCTGTCTGCCCAGAGGGTGGCAAGCACTGCTGCTTCTGTCGGTGAGTATTTGACCGTGAGACCAACTTCCCACCGGCCACAGAAAGGTTTAATCGGAGGAATAAGAGGGCCTGAGCTGCGTTTGCAAGAGAGGCCACTGCTGTAGCGTGAGGAATGCATTGGAAAGGTGTGGAGTCAAGGCAGGGAGGTCTTGTGTGGCCCTGAGTAATGATGTAAAATAAACCTACAGCCTGGCCCCTAGGCCTGGCTGTAAAATGCACCCGGACACACATGCCAGCACCTGAGATGCCAGCACATGTGCCACCTTGCTGGCACCTGAGAGCAGTCTCCTGTAGCAGCAGGAATGACCAGAGGTGAATGCTGTGAACTGAGACGGAGGAAGCCGAATCTCCAGCAGTCTTTCACAGCTCTAGAATTTACACTTTACAGGCCAAATTCACATATATTTCTGTTTTTTGAGACAGGGTCTCACTCTGTCACCCAGGCTGGAGCACAGTGGCATGATCACTGCTCACTGCAGCCTTGACCTCCTGCACTAGAGCGATCCTCACACCTCAGCCTCCCAAGTGCTGGGATTACAAGCGTGAGCCACCGCACCCAGCTTATATTTATTTAATCTTCATAGTAGACCCAGGTCGGTGGAACAATGTGAT